AATATCACAAATGTGAAATGTTTTCTTTTGTTTGGACTTAGAAGCCGGAATAAGCTTTGTTGAGTTTTCAGGTGTAGCTTTTGGCGTACCAGATCTTGATTCTGAGATTGAAGTAATACTGATTGGATGATTTTGAATGACTTCACAATCCTCATTATCACTCATTTTCTTTACTAGTACACATTCTGGTTCCTGAATTATTTCTGTTGGACGAGATATTGTTTTCTGGAAGATAGTCGTCTGAGGATATGGTAGTTTCCTAATAACAGTACTTTTCAGGGAACATAATCGTTCGTGGCGTAGTTTACCTGAATAGTTATATAGTACCCGATTACAGTGAAAGCATTTGAACCGTTTAATAGTTGAATGATAGTAACTGAAATGGCAATCTAAATCGTACGCTGAACTGAATCGGCTAGTACACATCATACATTCATGAGGTTTTTCGTGAATTTTGGTATGTCCTGAAATTTTAAATTTTAGAATTTTATGGTTTTAAAGAGAAAGCCCAATCCTTTAAAAAAAATTTGAAGAAAAAATGCCTCAATTAACGACTGAAAGCTTACTGCTTAAAGCACTCTGTCCAGACAGGTGCTTGTCGCAAACCGTACACCGAAATAATTTGCCTTTATGCTTGGCTAAATGCTCTCTAAAATTGTAAAAAGTTTCGTAAGTTCGATCGCACTGGTTACACTCGAATAATTTCCGTTCATCGTTATTTTCCTTTACGAAATTGGTTATATGCACTAAAATTTAAAATACTCAGAACAATAGCCTAAATATTGAAAATTATTTCAGCAAATTTTCTAAAATTATGAAATCTTGTTGAAGTCTTCATTTTTAAACCCAAGAAATTCCATTTCAAAACTATGACCACTAACCGGAATGTTTCTTAAGTTCATGGGCTCGCAAACGTTTCTCTGATACGAACGTTCTCGCGCATTTTTCGCATTCATATTTACGCTCATGATGGGCAATCACATGATCCTGAATCCATCAGATTTTTTATGAATGCCTATTTATTGCCTAATGCTTTAACTTAAAATAAAGAAAATGAAAGCTATTGTGTGATTAAAGCAAGTGAGAATTAAAAACAAATAAGTGAAAAGGATTCAAAAATTAGAAAAGAAACTGATAAAGTGGAGTCGGAGCAGACCTGAAGATCTTTGGTTGATTCATATATCTTACCACAGATTGGACATATCCTTCTCGAAAATGTAATATTACTTGTAATTAGATTCATCGGATACTGGTTAGCAATTGGAACTGGGAATAAAGGCAAGAATGGCTGAGTACGATTCTGAGTAGTTGAAAATATGAGCTCATTGATCGGTTTATTTAATTTCGAAAAATCAGAGGTCAAGTGAATCGGAGATGGTACATTCGCTGGAAGAATGAAATGCTACAAGCAGTTTCTTGCATTATTTCCAATGAGTAGTTTTAACTCAAAGGAAATGTACTTGTAGTTCAAAGAAACTTTTGTTTACTGACTCATTAGATGATTCATTTGTTTTTGTATTCAATACTAAACTTATTTGTTTACTCATCTCCTAATGGTCATTTTGTCATTTCATTACAAAATTTGCGCATATGCAAAAACTGTTTTGACCTCTCAGTGCTAATTATCGTCAATGACACTTGTAGAATGGTCATCACCTATGACTTTTCAGTTATTGGGTCACTGTAATACAGTAGCATCTATTTGATTGCTATTCATTGTAATGTAAGCTAGTTGTAATTAATTGTACTCTATTGAGCTTCAAAAATTTCCAGTCGAAATTTTAGAATATTATTTATTATGAAAATGTTGGAGAGCTTAAGGATAGTAGAAAAAAACTTTATGAGGAATGAAAAAATATATAAAGTAGAAATTAACGCACCCATTTGAAATTGTCACCCTTTTATAGGCTAGCGATATTGAGGTACTGATGGATGAAAGGTTGATAAAGAAGACTGGACCAGTGAACGAACGTCCTCTTTGAACGAGCAATAACTAATATGCAAATTTGGGTTTTGCTGGAGGTGAAAGGGTGGAGTGAAATTGACCGCCATAATGTCAACGATAGAAGGGGAAGAAAGGAATTGAATGCTTATCGTTTGTATTGTCTCCGATTAATTTCGATACTGCATCAAATTGCAGATAACAATCTTTTCAAACTTTCTGGTTAATATTGGACTATCAAGGAGAATGATAACTGTTCCATCCGTCAAGGTCACTCATGAATCTCAATGTAGTGAGGTTCGTCGCATAGCTTTCGTAATTTCTTCACATACCACTGATAAGATCAAAAAAAAAAGGAAAAAAAGTCTGAGATGGATGGATTTTTATGGGAGTGAGAAAAAGGAACAGTTTAGGACCAGAAGAGGTGTCATTTGATGAGTTATCTTCAAATTTTAAACTATCGTTCCGTTTAAATTTCCCTGAAATCATCAATTACTTTTCATTCCCCTCTGCATGCATATCACTTTTGTGTCTGCGATCTCGTGAATATTTATTTATCTTGTTTGATTTGGAATGGCCGAAAAAGTTGCACAGAAACTTGAAATGGAGAAGAAATAAGACACAGATAGAAGATAACTTATATCCTAAGGAATTCTCAAATTTGAGGTAAAGATCAAGTCGGGAAAAGCTAGCCAATCACATACCACTGATAACTGCATCCGGTATCATTGATAATTTAAGCAATTGATGGTAGCGCACTATTTGCCGTGGCTTTGATAGCCGATAACACGCGGTCATTCGGTCATCTCTGACAAGCGGTACTTACTGACCATGTAATAACAGGTAATACGTGAACCAGATTGTATCCTTGAAGTTCATCCTTATCATTTCTTTTACGGGAAATGCTTATAAAAATACTCTTGCGGAAATCGGTAATTATTCTTTTCAAATTGGTCACGTGGGAAGAAATTTTTCATACAGCCCTTACGAAAATCTGTTGCCGAAGTTTGATGGTGTGGTTACGGCGTTAGGTGAGGTTCAGGTTTGTTGTGGGGTGACCTTTGCATCTCTAAATAGCTCGGGGAGTTTGAGTCCTCTGCAAACTTTCCTTATCTAGCCTGGATGAGTGACAAACTGTCTGTTTTCGAAGAGTTATTGGTTTTTTGGAAATAGCCTGTTAATTATTGTTTTCCCTCGGACTTCGACTAAACCTAATCTACAAAAAGGCTTTAATAGAATATAAATACTTACTATAAGCAATATGACACATTTCATCTTCTGCTGATGGCGATATTTTCTCAGATCCCGAAGCAATCTCCAAAACAATTGCTTCATATTTCAAGCTTTCCAACTACTGGTTTTAATCTTTAAAAAAATGTCACAAATTACCAATGTGAATTATTATTATTACTTCCCACAGGTGGCTATTGAACTATACGAGCAACACGTGATATTTCTTATTTTTTCCTGGAAATCACACACGAAATTTTCTTATTTCTAATAGAAACATTTGAGAGCGGAACATCACAGAGTCCGTAAATCGTTATATGGATAGTAACGAATTGATTGCCGTTGTGACGGACAAAGAAGCACCAGTAGTAAATAATTCGCTAAAATCTGAATCTGAACAGATGATAGAGGAAAAGGTTGAGAAGGATGAAAATGACGATTTGGTGACACCGTGGGATGTTACAGCTTCAAGCAAGAAAGGCATTGATTACGATAAATTGATAGGTTAGTAATACTTTTTAATAAATTTGTACCTGAGAAAGTCTGATTACCTATCCTGAAATTTTAGAGAAGGTCATTCAAACCAATTTTAACAAAGAACGGTGAGGATTTGCAGTGGATTAGTGCGGAATTATTTGATCCATTCATATCTTTTTATTGTTATTCATACATTATTCCAAGTAAAATATCTATCTGGTAAAAATGTAGTAAGATAGGAATGAAACGAGCCTCAGAGTGATGCAATATTACCTGTGATATTTCTACTACCATCGTCTTATACCCATTTATTTTCTTCCTTTACTAAAACCAGAACTTTATTGACTTTTCTAGTGTTAAAACTTTGGAAAGCGGAAAAAACTTGTCAGTGTTAGACATCATATTTGAAGTACAGTTTTTTGAAGTATCAGTTATTTATATGAATAGTGTAGACTGCACATGTGAACAACATTTTGAAGTATTGATGAAAATTGATCTTTGGTCATATATTTAATTTTCAGCAAAATTCGGATGTTATAGAATAACAGAAGATTTGATCAATCGATTCGAACGAATTACTGGTCAAAAGGCACATCCAATGCTGCGACGTGGGCTGTTTTTTGCCCATCGGTAGGTGATCACAAAGTATCTCATAACATATACTTAGTACGAAAATTGAGAGCAATTATTTTGATTATCCGAATTTGATTGGTTTCTTAATTTCTATTATGAAACCTCATATTTTGGAATTCGATTGTCGAGCATCTCGAAAATTCAGTAAGAAAGCAATTAAGATAAAGAAACTGGAATAAGTGGTATACATTTTCATTCATTGTGAGAAGAGTTGTTCGGAATGGTATACA